CCCTGCCCTCCTTCCTTCCGCCTCCTCCCGCTCGGCGATTTAAACCCCGGCGCCCCCGGCCGCGCCCCCCGCCACGCCCTCATTCCTTGAACCCGGGCTGACTGGAGGGGAATCTCGCGTGCGGAGCTCGCAGTTGCAGACTGTACCACGGGGTGTGGGTGGGGGGGACGATGGTGATTCATTTGGCCGCCTCGCAGTTAAGGACTGGACATTGCCGCTCCAGTAGGGCGCCACGTAGGATGGGACCTAGATTTGTAAACGGATATTTGTAGGGGTGTGCTAAGTGCTTTAACGGACACGGAAGGTTTAAAAGGATCTCCTGCGGAGAGGCAGGGAAGAGTTCATGGAAGTTACCTGCAAATTGAATCCTGATGGATGAATGGGAAGTTTGGCCGGTGAAGAAAGATCGGGCGTTTTAGATCAGGGATGTAGCGTGTGCAAAGGCACCAACGTGTGAGGCAGCAGTCAGCCCACTGGAACCCGACTCCCCACCCCAGCCTAGGTAGAGTGGAAGCCACCACAGAGACAAAAACGAAGGGCTGTAATTGTTAATGGGCAAGGGTCTCGTTAATGGCGAAGATAAGCACCGATTACAGATTCACATAAGTGATCGATTTCAGTGATTGGAAATTCACAGGATTTATGAGAGCTGAACCATCCTGAGCCCCAGTTATAATTTGGTTGAAGGTGGTAATTATATACCACGGGTTTACCCCAACAGATAAAAGAAGTGGTTCCCGGGATCTTGAGCGTACTCTGTGTGTGGGAGGAGAGCCTGAAACTAAAACGCGTGGTGTACATGACGAGGACCTGGGTAGGATGGGACGTGAGAGTATTAGTGGGAAGGAGAGACGAGAGGTTAGGGGATGGGAATTGCTGAGAGGTGGAAGGACCCATGAGCATAGAAAGGAGCTTGCACTGTGATGTTCCTATTTCCCGTGAATCAGGAGGTTCCGGCAGGAAACATAGGAAGAGGGAGTTGGGGAAGGGGGTCTGTAGAAGTGACTGAGGAGCAGAGTGGGAGATGCTCTGTTCTTACTGCTTTCTCTCCACGTGCCCTGCCCAGGTGCAGAGAAGGGGGACATTTGTGATTGGGTTTTATATACACAGATAAGGATGCAGTTGATAGTAAAAGATGACATTTTTGAGATGACCCAAAGAAGTCTTTCATATATATGTAGATTTATGTTCATATGTATGTAGATTTATATATTTCATATATAGGTAGATTTATATACCCGGATTCACTAAGGCTTAGTGAATTTAAACATTATATCTAAATATTATGTTTATACACATTTAAACATTATATTCCAAGAGTAATTAGGGGCCAGGGATTTAGCTCACTGGCACTGTGCCTGCCTCCAAGTGCGAGGTTCTGAGTTCAGTCCCTGGTACCAGAAAAAGAAGAAGAAGAAAAAGTAGACGAGTGGCTTGCTTGTACATGTATTTAAGTGTCCCTATTTTTGTTTTGCCTGGACTCTTGGAAAGTATTTTAATCTTTGCTTAAAACTTAGGTTGTTGTAAGATTTAAAATGCTAGTCATGATAATGATTTTTAGTAGGTGATATGTTGGTGGAAATGCATGTCTCTTGATTTTGAGTGTATAAGAAATCTCTCCCAAGAACTGGGCCTGATTACCTGTCTTTTTCTCCTCTCTGTCGCATACATTTGCTCACTTGCCCTATGGAGTCCAGTCTGGCTCTTTTCACTAGTGAGAATTCTTGATGGTTCTTTCACTTAGACACTTGCCTTGCCAGAGGGCACTGCATTTAACTTCTGTGAGCCCCAGTTATAGTTTTGTTAGGTACAGAAGGAATGTATCTACTGAGGTATTGTGCACATTCCACACTGGCAGGACTTTGACCTCCTTGGAAAAGAGCTGTCCTTCCAGTTGCTTATGATGGGTTGTAATACTTCATAATAAGGATGAAGGCAGTTCATGCTAGAAAATTCTAGAAATCTTCCACTAAACTTGGCACTGTGTCCTTCCAGTCACAGTTGTTCTGACCTTGGTGGCAATGGACGATTGTCAGTTGCCCTTTGCTTTCTTAGAAGACCAAGCTCACCCACAGTCACTTCCAAATGAAGTGTTTTACTCCACTTCTGCTTTCTTAAATCCTCATTTAAGAAGGAGCCAACAAACACCCCCACCGCACCCCAAGTTCTGGACTCACTTACTAGATAGACTATCCTACCCTGGTTTCTGACCAGGGATAGGTATGTAGCCTGCTATTCAGTATTTGAAAATTTATAGCCAGAAAGACGTGGGCCAGAAGCCCAGCAAATAACCATCCAGAGACATTCTGGTTAGTTGGCATTTGAGGAGATTGGACTCTAACAGGGAGGAGAGAGTAGCAATGAACCCTGCATATAGATACTTTGCGGGGCAAAACATTCAATTTTCAGAGCTTCTTGGTTTCTTGTTTCATTGACGTAATGTGCATCCCAAGGCTCAGCGTCCTTTAGAATGTTAGGCTTTTGGCAGCCGCCGTTCTGTTGCTTCTGCTCTTCAGCAAATCCCTATTTATTAAATCAGGTATTGTTACTCCATTTTTAAACTTCCATTCTGCTAAGATTGTTTTGCACCTTAGTCGACGTGCTGGGGAAAAAGGTCCACACAGTTATTTAACGACACACATGATTAGATACCTGATATAAATACTAGTTTTTTTTTCTGTGATGTTTTTGTGTCTTCTTCTAGCCAGTAAAATAGCTCAAATATATAAAGTTCTCTTATTAAAGCTCATATCATTTGATTCATATCATAGATCATATCTCTGAACTCTAACTCTGAAGTTGTCTTTTCATAAAATGTCATGTTTTACTATGCTGATTATTACTTTGGTACCAAACCTGCATTTTGGTCTGAAGTTGGAGTTTGCTCTCCTAGTCTGGTGTGGCTTGAGATTGTCCTCCGTACAGCTCATCTGAATGAATGCTTACAGTAATAGAGCTGGAAGAAATGCCTGCTTCTTATCCCAGCCTCATTTAGGTCAGCTGGTACCCAGAGAGGTTAGAGGACTTGTCCAAAGGGTCACTACTGAGAGAGAGTGGGGATAAGAATTTGTTTTTTGAATCTGGGTCAAATTTCCTGTTCATTTCACCCATCACATCCCCAAGATTCTGTTTGAAAATAAAGTAGGGTAACTGCCTTGGGTATGAACTGTGTGTATTTTATGTGAATTTTCTCTTTCCCCTTTCATCAGTCTTATTACTTAGCTTATAATATTACAAATTAGATATTAAATCCTGATCTCACATTGAGATCAACTCCTTTCCCTTGAAAAGATAGCGTGTTTTGGTTAGAGAGACATGAATCACCTTATGAAATGTACCATGTATTTGGAAGTTACAGAAGAAAGATAATTGTGGTAAACAGTGTGTTTAGCACCTGTCTGGCCAAGGAAACATCACCTATCTTCCCTGTATTTTAATCACTTTTTCTGTAAAATGAGAATAAAGGATTAAATGAATATATTTGAACTGTTTGAAATGGTGTCTGGCACATTGTGTGATGGAAGTGTTAGCATCTGACTTTGGGAGTTTTCTATACCCCTCCACTTTCCATCAGGACTTCTTGTCAGCCCACTTAAATGATCTTCACTTAGTCATATTAGGAGACTCTACTTTGTTGAGGTACTGAGTGTCCTTCCTTTGTTGTAATACTGAATATTTGTTTAACAACGGATGTGGAATATGAACTTTCACACACTATAATTTTCTTCTTTTTAAGGATCTGGAATGCCCTGACAGATAATTTTGGAAATGTCATGCCTGTAGACTGGAAGTCATCCCATACTAGGACTTTACATTTGCTTACTCTGAACCTCTCAGAAAAAGGGGTAAGTTGAACCAGTAGTTTCTGCATAACTGGTGTTGATGGTAGAAGTAGAACAGTAGCATTTCTCTTCAGCACACATTTATTGTGTTGCCATGTATTTCCCTCTCTGGCCATCTTGGGTGCCCTGATGTCACTTTGCTAGCATGGCCCTCTGATTCTTTCCCACTACATGTCCACTTCTGTAGGGTTAGCTGTTTCCATTGCTAGGGAAAATGTGGACACCAAGGATCACCATTTCTTCCCGTTTACATAACAACACTGGCGTGCTGAGAACCCTCACTGAGAATCCCAGCCTTTTCTCCAGTGTATTGAGGGTACTGGAATATCAACAGAGAGTTCACCTACAGGTAAATTTAGTGACTTGCTGGACCTGATCTGTTGTCCAAGGACCATATATTTAGGTGAATACTGAGGAACCCTTAAAAGACATTTCAGGGTTTAGGGATTTAGCCCAGTGGCACTGTGCCTGCCTTGCAAGAAGAAGGTCCTGAGTTTGTTCCCTGGTACAAAAAAAAAAAAAA